GTCCCCTACAGTCGCCCCCCCCCCCCCCTCCTTTCCCACCTGCAGAACCAGCACAGAGTGCAGAGCCCAACACCCTGTAAACAGTATTGGAACACCCTAACTTCATAGCCTGACTACTGTGCATGTACTGCTCCATCAACTGTACACCGATGTACATACTGATGAATAGGAGAAATGCCAAGTAAAGGTCAGGTGGCTGCAGCATCGAACCTAGTGACACCACTGTGTGCATACCAGGTGTAGAGCTGAGTGCTGAACGAGTTATACTAGAGGTTCGCTTATGATTTTACAGTTTGCCAGTGTCCAATCCTACAGTACATGTCAGTATAACCGAACATTTTAAAAGTTGCCGTGTCACTCAATGGATGAGAAAGAAATACAGTACTATGAAATGCAGGTTAACCATTGCTAATTTTGTATCAGTTACACAGAAAATTACATATACAGAAAGAAGCATAGATGATAAATTCCACACTGCAGGCACTGTATGTTTACCTGTATCGGAGTGCTCCTTTCCGCTGGTGGAATCATGTCAGGAGATAAGACTTGAGGTGGGTCTATTCCTTTGCTGACTTTCTGCTGTATAAGATACATTGCTAGTGCAAACTGGTCTTTGTTCAACTTCCCCATCTGCCTCGTATCAGCCAAAGCCCTGCAAATTAAGCCATGGATAAATATATTAGCCACTATAACTAAAATGTTAAAACACATTTCAAATAATTAAATCAAGTTCAGTAAAGACAAAAAGCATGGAATTGAGTTCAGACAATGGGATTTAATAAACTTATAATCATAGTGAAAGACCAAAATACCATCAGAAGCACAGAACCTTTCAGCAGCTAATTAGAATTAGTAAACAAACATTTCAGCAATCTTGCTTCCCATGGCTGTGATATCCTGGCTTTACTCGTCACACTGGACCTACCTGCTTTTTGCAAGGGGGTCTTCAGGGACAGGGCTCCATTGGCTAATGGACCATGCCCCCTGGATCTGCACAGCACCCTTCAGCTAACACAATACAATGCGCCAAGGTGAACACAGAGATAGGATCCAGTGCTTCATTCATGCAGGGACTGGGTATGGTCCCACAAGTCTCAGCAGAGAAGTCGACCAATCATGAAAGCTGCAGAAAAAAAAAGGGGGTATAGCATAGCCACAGTGGCTATGAAGCAGCTATCTTGCCAGAAGAACATAGAAAAAGAGCATGCAAGAATAAACTCAGCTTCTCTCAGTAGAGGGAAAACATCCTGTTAGATTGTAAGCTCTCACAGGCAGGGCCCTCCTTACCATCTTGTCCTGAATTGTATTGTAATTATGTCTTCCTTATATTGTAAAGCGCTGTACAAACTGTTGGCGCTATATAAATCCTGTATAATAATAATCCATCATGACAATAGCAAAAAAAATTAGGCTTGCAGGGAAAACGAGGGATTATATGGGGGCTGTCCCTGGACCTCTTTTTTTGGTTGTCACTGCCCCGACTGTAGCATATATCCCAGACTATACACAGTGTATAAGACGTGAGGACGCCGAGGGACATACCATCGCTGCTGCAGCAGCAGAGGAGGAGGAGAGAGCACTGGGACAGCTGGCCTAGACAAAAAAACTAGCACTTAACCCTTGCAGTGTGGGGGTAAACCCACTGCAAGGGTTAATAAAATTTGTGCTTGGAGTTCTCCTTTAAGAGAGATAGTTAAGCCCAACAAAGGCTAGGTTCACTGAACTGACTTCATTTAAAAACACAATTAAATTTGCAAGTGGCCTTGCGCACTTATCTCACCATACGTGAGCCAAAATATTTTGTGGGAGTCCAGACTGCATGAATATATCCTTCACTTCCAGTCCACTAACAAAGCCATCCATGTCCAAGTCAGTCTGAAGGAATATGTCATCATAGCGCATCTTGTCTGTGAGATGTACCACCCAATTCAAAGCAGGCTTAAAAATAAAAAGCACATGATTAAAAATCAAATAGGTCTCTGCAATCTGCTTCTGCTGCAAAACAAAAAAAGGTGAAAAATTATATTTTTCTGTACCTGGCTAGACTTTGTGGAGTGTTTGGGTGACAAGCTCCCCGCACTGTTTAAACTGCTCATGCTGCCATGAGATGGAGTAGACCGTAAACTGTCCTTTGGCGGCGGACTAGCAGGAAGCACAGAGACAGCTCCTGGGAATGTAGGTGTTTTCTTTTTCTTGGATGTGGGTATCAAGGATTGTGGTAAGACAGTTGGTACAGGTTCTTTCTCTAGAGCTCGGTATACAAGATGCATTGCCTACAAAAGACATGAATAATACTCAGACACTATATAGGCAAAAATTAGCCAGCAGTCCATATAAAGAAAGTTACTTAACTGTTGTGAAGAGGTGTAGAAAACCTTTCCTAACATGGAAGGTGTCATTCCTGATCTCTCATCACTTTAAATGATAGTTGCATGGCTGTTATGTTGACCCAGTAACTTAAAAGGGACCTGATAGTGCCCGTCCAACCCTGCCAGCAAAGTATACTCCCTGATCTAACTTCCTTGATGCCTCTTCCTAATGCAACAGAGCATGGCTTCCGGGTATGTGACTTCTCCAATGTTACAGTGCTCAGGACTGAGTGGCCAATCACTAGACCTGGGAACGGTCATGTGTGGTATCAGTAACATCATCCAAATACTTATCGCTTATAAAGAACAAGAATGCAGATATGGACATGACTTTACTCTGACTTCCCTGATTGGCATATATGTTTCAAATTAAAGTACAGTGAGTCAGCACAACAGCCGTGCACTTTGTATTATCACATCAAATAGCAGTTACAGTAATACCTTGGTTTACAAGTAACTTGGTTTGAGAGCGTTTTGCAAGACAAGCAAACATTTCTGAAAAATGTTGCCTTGATATACAAGCAATGTCTTGCAATAAGAGCAAAATTTTGTAGAAAAGCGCCACCCGAATAAGGCTGTAGCAGTGCGAGCGATGAGACTCTTTAACGACAACACAATGTCACATTGGATAGATTCCTTGTTAAGGTTTCACGAAATGAAAAAGATTCCATTGAGCCAAGAGATAGCAGTGATTCCGTTAGTGATAGTGAAAGTCGTCCTGCTCAATAATCCTCCTCTCTCTTGTCCCCCTCACACCGGCCACAAAGGTAACCGGAAATCGGTTCATCTTTCTTTATATTTTGTACAGTATTATATTACAGTACAGTATTGTAATTATTTTATATGAATATTTTGGGGTTGTGGAACGAATCATCTGAATTTCCATTATTCCCTATGGGGAAATTCGCTTTCATATACAAGCGCTTTGGATTACAAGCATGCTTCCGGAACGAATTATGCTCTTAAACCAAGGTATTACTGTATCTATGTTTTCTCAGAAAAGATTTCCTGTAAACGTCAGTTAACCACTTCAGTACCGGCATGTTACACCCCCCTTCATTACCAGGACATTTTTCAGCACTCTGCAAGTTTGGCTGAGAATTCCTCTGTCACGCAACACTGTAACAATTACATTTGTATCAACAGGGGACCGGTGGCTGGAGCAAACAGGTAGGAGCCTAATTCATAATCAGCGGCTCCTTCGGGGGTGAGCGCTACACATGCATGAAATAGCATTGTGTTCTCCGGACACAACATGGCAGGTGCTGAACCCAGAAAAAGACCAAACAAAGATGCAGGTGACAGAGCTCGTGGGCACTGAATCACCGGAGGGGAAGTATTTTTAGCTTTAGTTCAACTTTAAATTAGGGACACAGATCCACGTTCTAATGTGGGAAGACTAATCTACAAATGAGCACGAAGTGGTAAATGAACATGTTTACTGGCAGAAATAACTGGGCTGCCATTTCTGAGCCACTTACCGACCACAAGCATTATTACAATCTAGTTACAAGTCTGTGACTTACAAGCTATTAAAGCCACTGGATGAACATTTCAGAAAGAAAGGTGGCAACCAACATATGTCTCTGAATATGATCGTATTCACATCGATGTTTTAAATTCATATCAAACAGATACACATAACTTAATACAATTTAAACATATTTATAAAGAAACTGTTCACATTCTTTTTTACTACAGAGTATTACAAGATCATTCATTCAAAAGAAGAAAGGTACCACTCACAATAATGTCTGCCTGCAGAAAAAAAAAGTGTGGTGATCTGTTTGGCACGAGCAGTAATATCAGACTTACCACTGCAAACTCATCCCTGTCCAAATGTCCATCCTTGTCTATATCACTTAGCTCCCACACCTGTGGTCAAAAGACAGCATCATTACTGTTCCAGGTCTGACACATACATTTTGTATAAAGATATTTGCATTGCTTTTCTTGTACAATACAATCACAATAAAAACGATTAACTTCATATAAAAAGTCCTCCCTGCATCAATCTTTGGAATACAAGTTCAAATAAACATTGAAATACTACAATAAGTACAAAAGGAGCATATCCTATATATAGCAGATACTACAAAATCATGCAACATCCGATTCCTGTGAAGAGATTGTATGAGTAGAAAGTATCCAGGATAGAGGTGCACCGAAATGGAAATTTCAAAACCGAAAAAAAAAAAATTGTCAGGCCGAAACCGAAAATGTTTTTTATTTAAATTTTTTCAAAAACCCGGACTGTGATAGGAGGCTGAGTGGTGCAGGGAGGAGAGACGCCGGCCGCTCACAGAGCTCTCCTCCCGCAGCGCTCGGCCGGCTGTCACAGTTTCTCTCCTCCCCGGTGGGACACAGAGCAGCGCCCAGCAGGGAGGAAAGAAATCAGGGATGCGCCGATGTATTGGCACAAAAATGGCACTTTCAAACTTTAGCAAAAAGTGCAATTTCTGGCCAATATGTTGCATCCCTAATCCAGGGTCCCTAAATTTTCTCCAATGTCACACAGTGTGCATAGTGGGAGATTAGAATTAACCAGTTGTTTCGATTTAGCTGAACCTGGCTCCCAACATGTTAACAGTATAACCTTCCTGGCATAGAAATATAGGGTTACGCAAGAGAGTTTTCACATGATTAGATATTTATAAGTCCCTCTGTATGCCAAGGAGGCAAGTATTATGGTTGCACATGTAAGAGAGACCTAAATTGGCTGAGCTGAGGTCGATTACTTTCATCCAGAATTTCTAGACCTGTTAAGTCTAGAGAATATGGAGAAAGTTGGCTGCTTCGCCAGCCTCAGAAACATAGAAAGGAGCAGCATAGGCCTAGTATATGTAATTTGGCTGGGTCGTAATAGGCCTGATGAAATAATTTCAGGTGAATTACTTTGTCTTTGGATAAGATCATGGGGTCATGGTAGGTGTCATCAAACTCCAAACCCCAGCCAGTCCCCTTAGTTGGTTATGCACATTCTGTACAGCACATTTACCAGAAGCCTTTACTTAGGACATATACAGGTGAAACCCGATTAGAATATCGTGCAAAAGTTCATTTATTTCACTAATGCAACTTAAAAAGGTGAAACTAATATATGAGATAGACTCATTACATGCAAAGCAAGATAGTTCAAGCCGTGATTTGTCATAATTGTGATGATTATGGCTTACAGCTCATGAAAACTGACCTGAACCCCATAGAGAATCTATGGGGCATTGCCTAGAGAAAGATGAGAGACATGAGACTGAACAAAGCAGAAGAGCTGAAGGCCGCTATTGAAGCATCCTGGTCTTCCATAACACCTCAGCAGTGCCACAGGCTGATAGCTTCCATGCCACGCCGCATTGAGGCAGTAATTGCTGCAAAAGGGGCCCAAACCAAGTACGGAGTGCATATGCATGCTTGTACTTTTCAGAGGTCCGATATTGTTCTATGTACAATCCTTGTTTTATTGATTGCATGTAATATTCTAATTTTCTGAGATTGTGGATTTGGGGTTTTCATGAGCTGTAAGCCATAATCATCACAATTATGACAAATCACGGCTTGAACTATCTTGCTTTGCATGTAATGAGTCTATCTCATATATTAGTTTCACCTTTTAAGTTGCATTAGTGAAATAAATGAACTTTTGCATGATATTTTAATTATTCGAGTTTCACCTGTACCATTGTGAAAGGGTGGATCTCTGCATGAATAGGTGTTTAAAGTCCTTAAAAGTGCAAAACCTGTGAAAATAAGCAACTTGACACTCCAAAGTAATGTCATCCTAGTATCCTATAATTTTTGCAAGTAACTAAATAAACCTGACTAAAAATAGGTAAGGAAAAAACTTTTTAGGCTTTTAAAAATGGCTTTAAATACAGTTCCAGTTAATACATCAAGTTTTTTTTTATCACCGCATCCGACATCATTAATAACAGAGAATGTCACTATTCAAAACTGCTGTTGCATTACAGCATAGCAGATTGTTGCCCACAGAAAATAAACATCTTTTATCCTAGTGCTGTGTTACCCTGCACATCTCATGCCACATGTCTGACTTCTGTATTAGGCAACTGTGGCTTAGAACCTGCAACCATACAAATGACTCAAACAAGGTGCACAAGAAATGCTTCCAAATAACCTCTAATCATTGGTCCCCAACTTAGAGGACTGCACAGCAGGAAGCGTATCTTCTTCAGCAACAAATGTACATTTATATCGCTCAACCAAAGAAAACGGAAGTCTCACTGCTTAAAAGACTTTATTACAAAATAATACAAAAACATACTTTTTAGCCGAGGCTTATGCTGAGTTTAGAGGGTCTCACTTCCACCCTCCCAGAACAAATCAACGTAAATCAAAAACATTTAAATCGAAAAACATTTGGGGAGATTTTCTCTTACTTTCTGGTGTGACTCTGGGGCAGGATGGGAAGGGAAATATCCATTCAAGACAGCGACGGGTTTTCTTGTAAGAACAACCCCACATCCTCCCTGCTGATTCTTGGCTCCTTTGGAGCCCTAGGTTAATACCCAGTTTCATGTGGGTGAGGGAAGGAAGCCTTTAAATATTTAAAAATCGCACCCATATATACACTGTACTTACATATAGAGTTAAAGGAGAAGTATTGTAAGAGAAAAATGTACTCTTCCCAATACTTAGAGCCGATCTGAGACACTGCAGCTGTCACTTATGTTGGCTCTATAGATCAATAAATTAGCGATCACAAACTGCTGATCGCACAGCTCACAGTCTTTTCCCTGCAAACTGCGCTGACTGTCAGTCACGGCTCCCTGCAGGGATTTCTCCCTCCCCTCTCCAGCATTTATTGGAGGAACGGACAGGGGTAGGGAGGGCACAGCTAGCTCTAATCTAGAGGGGCAGCTGTCATTCAGTACTGTTGGGATCCTTCCCAAATCCAGCATGGGTCTGTGCTGTCAGCATTTAGCGAGCAGTAGTCTGCTAGATGCCGAGTTTGGGTCACAGGAGTACATTAGTTAAAAAAAAAAAGGAGGTTTAGCCATAGTTCTCTTAAGTTATGCTTTCATTCTCTTTTCAAGCAAAGTATACAAAAACCGCTAGGGATAAACATATTTTCTATTTACTTAATGTGTGTCTCATCTTTCTCTTGACAGGTATACTACAGAAACAAAAGGCAGCAGTGCTCTTACCCGTCCTAGTATGTCCAGAGGTAGTTTGGAGTTGATCAGTACCGGCTTCACCTTGTCTCCAGATAGTAAACCATTCACTGGTAATAAGCTATCAAAAATTCCATCAAACTTGGCTTTCTCTTCTGTCTAGTAAATAAAATAAATATGGTATCAAAACAATGTTAGGAAGAGATAAGAAGTGGATTTCCTTTTAAAGTGCAAGTGCCCTATTCTATCACCCTCCCCATCTCTTCAGCAACCCCATTTACAGATCCCAGATGGACACTTACTCGATTCATCACATCCGATACTCCATGATTTCTTCATGACCTAGGGCATGTGCTATTGATTGGAATATGAAATAATGGAGTTTTTAGAGTGTGTCCATTTGTGAGGAGACAGCCCCATTATTTCCTAGTAAATCAACAGATGCAAAAATGCAGGAGGGCAAACACAGTCATGGCTACCAGCACCCCGTGCCTGTCAGATCTGGATGATCCCCCATCTGGAGTCTGTAAATGGGGACTTTTCTGTGCTGAGAAAAGTAAGGAAGGGGGAAGCTGGGGTTGGGACAACTCTTATAAATATTACACTAGACAGACCAGATTTATTTAAGTAGATTTTATTTTCTGTCCTTCTAAACTAGACCCTAGTTCCCATTATTCTATAATGCATTATTCAATTCCATATAATAAAATAAACAAAAATATATAAATAATGATATCTATAGCTATAGATATCTATAGCTATATCTATCTATATCTGTAGATATCTATATCGCTATAGATCTATATATATGAAAAAAGAAGTGGTGATATTCTGTGCTTATTACAGACAAGATAATGTAGAATTGAATAATGCATTAAAGAATAATGGGAACTAGGGTCTAGCTTTACTGTGCCTTTAGCTGGTTCAGAGGAGCCATATATTGTAAAGGTGTCACCCAGAACTGTCAGAGGGGCTGAGAGGTTCCAGGATGTGATTACTTTTGCAGGGTAGAAGCTGGCTTTTCAGTTTCTTCCAGATTTTCCAGACTGTAGCAGGATGGAATCTCTAGTCCTGGCGCCAGGTGTTGCCAATGACCAGTCTAGGTTGTTCAGGTGTCTGAGAACAACCGAGTCTGGACCAGAACTCAGGGAGCAGTGGGTTGCAGGAGGCACACGGCCACAGGCAGACTCTGCTGCGTGCTCGAAGCACATGTGGAACAACCGGGGGAGAGCCAGAGGGTCGGTTACACCCAAGAGACCTGTTGAAGAGACTTAAGGTGCCCATACACTGCACGATTCTCGTACGAGAATCGCGGGAAATCCCGCAATCGTACGAGAATCGTGCAGTGTATGGAAGGCGTGCGACCGTTTCTACTGTACGGTCGCACGTCTTCCGTCGAACCAGCAGGCTAGAAAACCCGCCGGGAATCGTACGATTCTCGCTGAGTTAGTGGCCTGCTGGTTCGACAACTGCCGAACGGGCAGTCATCGTAAGCCCGCCCCTCTGTCCAAGATGGTCAAATCGTAAATTTTTTTAAAGTACTTTACAACCCTCGCAAGACAAAAGTCTTGCGAGGGTTGTAAAGTGTATGTGCACCTTTAGAGGGGTAAGCAGTGTGAGTATCACACAGGTAAGTGCTGAGAGGCTTGGAGCTGAGGAAAGCTACCGAGCAATACCGAGGACTGTATTTGTGGAGAAATACAGTAAAGTCCTGAGACTAACACGCTGGGAGTGTATGGGACAGCCAGATGTCGGTGAAACAGAAACACGATGTTTTAGTGAAAGTCAAATGAGCTGTTATGCTTCAGAAAAGCGGATTATGTGAAGTGCCTGGATTGTTGGCCTTTTGACTGTCCTCTTTTATGTTAAAGATGGCTTCCAGAGTGGTCTCGTAGCGCTTACCATTGTGCTAAATGCCCCAAACTACAATATACCGTATTTATATAAATTTTATTTGTTTTATTTATAACCAGATAACCACTGAACCAGCTCAAAGCACAGTAAAGCATTATTAATACAGAATCTGCATAGCTATCTAGATTCTGTTTTAAGAAGGATCTACTGTGCTTTTTATTTGAATACTTTTATCCTGCAAAAGTAAGATCTATTAAAATGTACACATATTGCCTAATTGTGTTTTGCTAAACACCAAGACAGATTTACATGTCTGCAGACATGCTCTCTAGCGAATTACTAAACATCCTATTGCATTACTGCCCACGTGCAACTGTCGGCTGCTTTGGCCAAGAATCTTCTGAGTGGCTCACAGCCATTGTTTTGCAAATAAACTGTGTTCTGAGTAGATTGTTGTTGAACACTAACTGCTTACTTATGCCAGTCACAGAAATCCCAGTGACAGCATGGTCACAGTTTCATTGTACAGAGAAGACAAAATGATTATTGATAGGTTGCTATAACGGGATGATGTCCACAGATGTCTGTTCAGTACGCATGTATTGCGTACTGAACAGACATCTGTGGACATCATTATATATATATATATATATAGTGCCTTCCTTTTTAAAAAACACAAACTGATTTATCCGGAAAAGAAAAAGGGAAAAAAGACACTCCCCAGAGCAGTTACCCCAAAACAATCTTAAATAAGATGGTTAGGCCACTGCAGAGGAGGGGGACATGGGACCGGTCTAAGAACAAGCCAGCTACACAGTTCAGGCGAGTATAACTTTTTTCTGTACCCCCTAAAAATTCTGCCCGGAGTTCAACAAACAGCATTGGGTGTTTATCATTTGCAAAAACATTTTATTTTCACGCCAGTTTTTGTTTTACAAAAAATATTTGGGCATGACATATTTATTATTCCTACTTTATCTCCAAAAACATTTTTCACTACACATTTTTTCTTAATCTCAATTCTGCATTTATATTTGCCTATGTGCCAAATGAATAATCTACTTACACTAGATGTATTAATTTAGGGACCTTTGCATAAAAATACATTCATTTTAGAAATAAGTGTATTTTCTGCTGTATACATTACATACACAGTAACTCCCGTCATTTTGACAGCTGGGAATTACTTGTGCATTTTTTCATCATCTGCCAACACAAAATTTACCAAAAATTTGACATTTTACTTACAATAAATGCTACAGTATATATCCTCAGTGCGTGTAATATAAGCAAAACTTACCCGAACAGACCAAAGACCTTCAACAGGCGGTGGCGTGATCAAAAGGGGACTACTGGTATCATTCTTCAAAACACAAAAGAAATTGATAGTCATGGCATATTATGTGCTAATTTTTAGCCATTTTATTAGAATATGTAATATTAAAAGGACCACTATTGCAAGAAATATTATATTCAGGTAACTGCATGTGATTAACATCAAACTATCTTGTAAATGTGACCATTACAGGGGATGGGGCAAACTAAAACACCGACAGGGGTGCTTACAATGGTCAGATTTCTTTTCTTTTGCTTTTAAAACGATAAAAAAAAAAAAAAAACACAAAAGAAACCTATTACTGTAATTGCTTAAAGGAGAACTATGGGGTTAGGGCTTTTCCCCATAGTTCTCCGAAGGGTAACGGGAGGACACAAAATAGTGTCCTCCCGTCACCCAAAGCACAGTATACCGCGAGCTGAAGCTCGCGGTATACTGAGACGCCGCAGCTGAAGCGGATCCCGACAATTATGTCTGATCCGCCCAGCTGCGTGAGTGACAGCTGGCTCTGCCTATCTAGAGGCAGAGCCAGCAGTACCTGCCCCCTCCCCCGTCCGTTCCGCCAATCAGCGCTGGAGGATCGGAGCGGGGAGGGGGGAAGAGCAGAGAGCCGTGACAGGATCGAGAGGTGAGCGAACGCCGGTATGTGTTCGCTCACCTCCCGTTCTTAGCCGACCTGTGACAGTTTCATTGTCACAGGTCGGCTCAGATTATGAGGCTGAGTGAAAAGCACTCACCTCATAATTCTCCTTTAAAAAGTGTTAGTTCTGGGATCACTAGCCTACATAATTTCCAGTCTGCTACAGGTATCAAACCACTTCAATATTTCTGAGAAAAATACAAATATTCAGAATAAGGAATTATTTTATTCTCCAAATTAAGACTATGTCTCTCACTTTGCTTCAATTTCGTCTTACGGAACTTTAAAAGAATTTCAATTTAAAGGCTGCAAAGATTTTTTACAACCCAGGTCTCATTTTCCTACTATACTCCACTATTGTACTCTCCCCTTCTGAGACATCCTCCCTGGCACACAAAAGGTGCTAGGGGGCACTTCCCGAAGGATCCTGCTTAATAACTGCCCTGGAGTTACAGTTCTAAAAACACTCCTTATAACCTAGATTCAGTGAAGCTTCATATGGGACAGGAATGTTAGTAGCACCGCTAAGAGCGTTCACTTTATTAAAGTAGAACTGAAGTCAAAACCTTTTTGTTGGATAGAGAAAGGGGGTGTTATAACTAAGGATGCACAGACACCGGATACCTCAGATACCTCAAGTCCCGTTAAGGATCTGACCAATCGGGAAGCCGGGCGGCAAGTCATTACATGCCGCCCGGCTTCCTAAATGGCCAGGAAGCCGGCTCCATGCTCCCTCATCACCTGGTGACGGAGCATGGAGACGCCTTCCCTGCTAATCGACTCCCAGGTAATCAGGCCAGGTGGTAAGTCATTACACATTTCCCGGCCAATCAGGAAGCCGGGGTGGGGGGTCAACACCTGCCCCTTGGCTTCCTGATTGGAAACCAGGGGGCAGAAGGGGGCATCTGGTGACGAAGGAGCATGGAGCCGGCTTCCTAGTCAATCAGGAGGCCGGGCAGCATGTAATGACTCGTGCCCGGCTTCCTGATACCGGAAGTTCCGGTATCGGGCTAGGCATTGGCAGCATTTGGGGGAGTACGAGTATCGGTGCATCCCTAGTTATAACCCCTATCAGCTTTTTTGATATCTGTGTCCCTTCGGGGAGATTTCCCATCGCTTCCTGTCTTATTGCCACAACATCCACAAAATCCCTCCAAAGGAGAGGGATGGTCAGCAGGGTCACCAGAACTAGAGTCCCCACTGGAAGATTTCCCATCTATTCATGTTCTGATGACAACCCAAACTTTGGGATTTTCTTTCACTTTCAGAGTTAATGGTCACCAGGACAAATATAGAAAGTGAATCTCTCTAACAGGGACACAGATAGCAATAAAAACCTGACAGGTGTTCTAATCCTTTCCAACTCTTTCCAAAACTTAAAAAAAACAATTGGTTCTTCAGTCGCACTTTAAGGCCAGAGCAAGGAAAGGAATCCCTAGAGTCTTCAAGTGGCTGCGGATCTGCCAAACAAGGACTTATCCTCAGATGCATTGGTCCCCTGAAGTAATCAAGCCAAACTTCTTTCCTGTCAGAGGATACTTGCAGCAGGAAATGTGTGTTCAGCCTGCTGGCAATCCAATTAGGAACAGGGCCCTCCAGCGACAAACTCTACCTGCCATGCAGGACCTAAGGCACACATACATGGGTGAAGCTCTCATCCCTGTACTGAGGCTACAAGTTGAGAGGAACACGTTCCTAAGGAAATGACACACAATGACAAGTAAAAAGCTCTGTTGTCAGAAAGATTTCATAGATCGTCCCACACTAAAAGTTAACACTTTGTGTGCACATTTTAGTGTGGTGTGGGCTATGAAGTCATTCTGACATGATGGCTTTGTACTCGTGTCTTATTGGTTGTTGGTACTATTTAAGCTCTATGTGTAATATTATTGCATCACTCTTCCATGGTCCGCAACCATTGGCTGTGATGCCTGTTGCTGAATAAATTACAACATTATCACTATAGCAACGTGTGTGAGATCCTGATTGCCCTATGGGTACATGGTGGCGCCAACCAACGATACATTTAGGGCTGCAACAACTAAATCGACATAATCGATTATTGAAAAAGTTGTCAACTTTTTCAATAATCGATTAATCGGCTTCCGATCAGTTGGCCCTGTTCACGGCTCCACACACGCTGCGCGCCGCACCTCCTCCCCACCTCGCGCTCGCCGCTGCCAGACCCGCCCGCCCGCATCCACACTCTTCACGCCGCATTTGTTGTATCCCCCTATAGCTGGTGATATTCTGCACTACAAATCCCAGCAATAATACATTATACAGCGCAATGCAGAATACTGCCAGCTATAATGTACTATTGCTGGGATTTGTTGTAGTCCTCTATAGCTGGTGATATTCTGCATTGTGCTGTATAAATTTACACTTTCCTTTTCACTATATTGCACGCCACACAATTTTTTCCCACCGCTCCAAGCTTGCTCCTGTGATGGACTACAATCTCAATACAAACTAGTAGTCCATCACTGGAGCCATTTTTATTTTTTTTTAATTGTTTATCCGATTAACCGATTAATCGAACTTAATAATCTGCTAACTAATCGATTTTTGAAAATAATCGTTAGCTGCAGCTCTAGATACATTACATCCTTAATAAACTGTGGACAAGCCTGGAAGGTCTGCGACAGATAGGAACCCGAGATAGTGGCACTCCACCTAGCTGAAAACATCAGTGTTGGGTTATCACTAAGTTCCTCAGTGATAACCCAATCCACAGTAAAACTAGCGGTAGCAGGAAATTTGAAAGGCGCCAAGTGGTGCAAATAGCAAGGTAGCTCCAGATGATTCGGTTTGCTCAGCCTACACAACAGAGCGAGTCTTTAGAGACAGGGCAAGCACTGAGGAAGTGCTGCATTGTACATGAGGACCACCCAGGATATCAGGCAGCCAAGATTGGAGTGCGTTGGAGGACCTACTGCAAAAGCAATGTTTTTTCCTCTGATTCAGCTTTATTAAAAAAGAATTTTAAAAAACTTCTGATAACTTGTCTTTTCAAATGTAAACATTCTGCCAAAGTGCTAAGCAAAAAAAAAAAATATATATATATCATAAATAGCAGTACAAACCACTTACAAATTTGGGAGGTGGCACTGGTATATTTAGGCTGGCCATGTTAACTTCATGTCCACTTTGTGCACAGGCCACTAACCGCAAAGCAACAAAAAATCC